TATATTTTGATCCTGTATCTTTTACACTGTTGGGTGTTCAATGATTCAGCTTCGACAGACAGGATGGAGAACGCCCTCACCTAACCTGTTCTGCAGTGATCCTTGGAAAGAGGATTCACAACAGTGAACAGAGATACCTAATAGGCAGTGTAAGTTTGGAGCCTAAGCTCCTGACAGGCAGCGGTTCAGACACATTACTATGCTCAGTGCTTCTTATTGGCTATCCCTGCACACTTCTAGGCTTTCTGAACTGCCCTTAGAGGCACCTACTGCTCCCTTTCTCTGAGCGAACTATGTAGGCATATCCTATGTCTCTCCATTGACTGTACAGGAATCCTTAGTGCCTAAGCCAGTCATACTGAATTGCCCTCTTCAGCAAGGAGCTTAATATTGGCAATACCCAAGTGTAGGCACTGAAAAGCTAATTTGTGTCTAGCCTTTTGATGTTTTTAGGCACCTACAAATTAGATTTTGCCAACCCATCATTTCTGTACAATGCATGTGGAATTAGGGGCATCAGAATGGCACCCCAAAATAGCCATGTCTGAACAGGGGGCATCCTAGGACTACTCCCTAAGAGCACGCTGAGCACAGGAGTGTAGCTGAAAAGCCATCTGTCTCGAGACATAAGTCCCTAACTCAGCTTGCCACTCAGGATCAAGGGCTAAGAGTCCTCTCATATGAATGCCCTTTCACAGAATTGATCAGGGGTCAGCATTTTCTTTTAAAGTGTGGCTGCTGACACAGCCCATGGTTGTTTTCACACCTGTCTTTTATATAATAGTCTAGGGATGAGTAGGTTAGTAGGAAATCTGGGTTCTTTTTCTGAGGAGACACTAACCTACATTTTCTGCTCTGACTGGGTACTGGAGGTTCCCTGCCCAGAGAACGTGGTTAGGGCCCTGGTGGGAAAGGGAAGGCCAGGCTTCTGACTAGTGACTATAGCTAGTGACTGCAGCTGCCCTCAAGGGTAGGTAGCGGTTGGGATGGAGAGTGGCTCTGAAAGGCAATTTTGGAATTAGGTGTCTCACATCGAGCTAAATTCTGCTCTGGGCACTTAAGTCTTTTACTGGATTTAGCCCTACACTCTTATTCGTATCTCCAGTACAGATCAGTTGAGGAAAAAATGCTGTGGAGATTAGTTCCCGAAGGATATTGGCAGGAGCTAAAGTGACTTCTCTGATTAACTAACATTTTTCCTCTCTTGTGATTATATTTTGCAGATGGAGTTTTGGTTCCATTACAAAGGTAGGAAAAAGGGAGAGAAGTGACCTATTTCTTGTGCTCCTACTGGTTGCCAGAAGGGCTATAAACAATCAGTGTCCTCTTTCTCATGCTAGGCCTTTTCTCAGGTCCTGGCACTATAGCACCTGCCTCTTTTCTTCCAAACAGATTTAAGTCCATGCAAAGAGAATCTCTGTAAGAATGGGGGGATCTGTCAACTGAAACACTATGATTATATCTGCATCTGCCCCCCCCAGTTTGGAGGGAAGCAGTGTGAAACAGGTGAGTGGGGAAATATGTGAACAAAACACTCCCCTTGAAGAAATGGGAGTGTGAAATGTAGTGGCATACCCCTGACTGGACCATTTGCAGAGGGCTGAGTTTCATATGTATTAACTCCAGTTTGATACACTGCTTCTCTGGTGCCTTGACTAAGCAGTCGCATAGGCAGTAGTCAGAAGGCTACATTAGTTTAGATAAAATTAGAGTTGTGTTAGATGAATTTTATGCATAAGAGACACTGGGCAAAGTTCAGTTTGAACTAGAAACACAGACAAACTGAAGTGATGTTTCATGAACAACTGGATTGTGATTCCTTCCCTTCTGAAATGCCATCTATAGTCCACACATAAAAACAGAGCAGGACTTCACTGCACCAAGTAAATTGAAGTGGGGAATAGGAAAAAACTGAAGTGATTGTTTTTGTCTATAACCATGTAGGTTCATTTACACACTTTTATTGACTGCTCTTCTTACAGTGCAACTTGTTAGACACAGAATGAATAAAGAGGTGACCTCAACCCAAGGAGTGAATTCTCCAACTTCAGTAACAATACAGGAAGTGAAACGCAGAGAGGAACAAAGAACTGTTGCTTATTTTACAAGCATTTTTGGGCAGAGCCAGTCTCATTCTGCATGTGGCACCCAGCAGCCAGTACCTATCTTGGCTGTGGCCAAGATAGTTTGTCCCCCCAGTTTTGCTGCTGTTGCCCAAATAATAACAGAAAGCAAGAAGAGGATACGGGTTCAACAAGGCCAGGCAATTAACTGGCTGCAGAAGACAGTTTTCTTAGATTTTCTCACATACTAGATCCAGTGGTAGAGAAGTGGGTCACAAGCTTTTTAACTTCAAGGGACTCCTTGGAAAACACTAGCTTTTAATTCCCCCGCACCCTGTTAACTTCAGAAAAATAATAGAGCAATGTTTCCATAGCAAAAAACTTAGAAACATCAAAGGAGGTCAGAACATTTTTAATGCTACTGATTTCTATTTGAAATCTCTGAGTTTATCTTGTGAATCATGTTTCCACACCAAACAATGCTAACCCATGGCACCTTTGAAAGGATCTCATGGCACTCTGGTTGAGACTTGCTGCCCTAGCGCAGGGGGTTGCAACCTGCAGCCAGTGGACTGAATCTGACCTACCAAGTGATTCAATTCAGCCTGCAACGCTAGAACATCAGAGCAATTTGGGGGTGGGGAAAACAACAGCAGTGGCAGTGGCTGGGTTGCCTTCAGCCCAGGCTCAGTGTATTATTTAGCATGCCACTCCTCAAAGGTTTCCAGCTCTTATAGCAACATTTCTTCTGTCACTGGCTTAATTTCTTCATTGCAGCACTGCTGCTGAGAAGGCAATGTGCTACTGGGTCATTTAATATCAGTAACCAGCATGTGCACATACGTTTCTGTTGCAGAGAAGTTTGAATGTTGGTATAAGAATGGTGGCTGCTCACAGTATTGCCAAGACACCACTCACTCCCTTCATGTGGTGTGCTTCTGTGCAGAGGGCTACATGCTTGGTGATGATAAAAAGACATGCCTACAATTAGGTGATGAATGTGGGACCCGGTTACTGTCTTGACACTCTCCTTCCCACTTCTGTGGGTTGCACACATTCCTTTGGACTGCCACATATGCCACCCCATTGAAGGGGAAAACCAGATGCATTTATGTAGAACTGAAGATTGTTTCTCAAATTAGCACAAACATCTTCAACCCAGAAAAGCTGGTTTCTTTCTACTATGAGTATTCTACACCCTCCCACTGTTGTCTCAGGATGGAAAAAATGTCTCCAAACTCTGGCACGTAGGGTATACAACGGGCTGCTGACAGCGTGCAGAAAAAAAACCTTAGAAAGGTGTCCAGCTCCAGTTTCCTACAGTAGAATGGGTAGAAAGAACTGGGTGGGAAGAACTGGCATCATGGGCACAGGAGGGAGGGCTAGGAACCAAATGTGCTTGATATACTATGAGAAGATACCCACTGTGCTTTATTGACTTGCACGTGGCTGATGGCAAAATAAATGGATGGGTAATGTTACAATTTCAGTGCTTAAAAGGAAGCAGAAATTAGCTGTGGGGGGTCACAACTTGACACTAAATTTTGAACCTGGAACCCAAAGGTTGTTTCTGATTTTTCAGCTCAGTTTCCCTGTGGGCTGGTTACAAAATCCCCACGCACTTTTAAGCAAGATCCTGCTATGTGGAGCAAGACAGTGGACAGCCCCCCCCTAGGCAGAACACAACATTACAGGGTGTCACTGAGTGGAAGATGACAGTGGAGGCTGTTGCCAGGCAGAATGAGACACTAGAGATTGCAGCCAGTTGGAACCAGACAGTCGAGGCCTTTCCTATGTGGAATGAGACCACAGATGACAGTGCTCTTCGGAACAAGACGCAGGAGGAACAGAATTTGCATGAAGGCTTCAGCCAGACTGGAGATGAGGAAAACCGTACGGATGGAGATGGACCCAGCTGGATAAGCTTCCCCCAAAGTGAAGAGCACCATGATTACAGAATAACTGGAGGATCATTCTGTCGTCGTGGACACTGCCCCTGGCAGGTAATGGTTTTTCTTGTATTTTTGGCTCCAAATACCACATTTGCATAGAATGATAGAAACATAGAAATTAAGGGCTGGAAGGGACTCCAAGAGATCATTGAGTCCAACTCTTCTGCTCTGGGCAGGAATACTGCTGAGATCAAATGATCCCAGCAAGGTGTCCATCTAGTCTCCTCTTATAGACTTCCCAAGGAGGGAAGTCTTCTCCAGATTCTGGTCACCCTTACCATAAAGCTCTTCCTTACATCCAACCTGAAACCATCCTCTAACAGTTTATGGCTATTGCTCATTGTCCTCCCCTGGAGCGCCCTAGCGAACAGTTTTTCTCCTAGCTCCTGATATTCACCCCTTACATACTTATAGATAGCCACCAAGTCCCCCCTCAGTCTTCTTTTCCCCAGGCTGAACAGTCCCAGATCCCTTAGTCTTGCCTCATAAAGTTTGTCCTCCAGGCCCTTAATCGTTCTTCTGCCCTTCTCTGGACCCTTTCAAGATTCTCCACATCTTTTTTGAAGTGCAGCACCCAGACCTGGACAGTACTTTACCTGGGGTCTAGCCAGTGCTGAGTAGAGAGGAGGTATCACTTCCTTACCCCTGCTCATGATGCATCGGCTAATACATCCCCGTATGCTATTAGCTCCGTTGACTACAGCATAGCACTGAAGGCTTTCGTTCATCCTGTGATCAACCATAACCCTGAGGTCCCTTCCACCCACCTTTCCAGCCTGTCCAGGCCCACTTGGATCCACATCCTATCCGCTAGTGTGACTGCTTCTCCCCATAACTTAGTATCGTCCACAAACTTGGCCAGTGTGCTTTCCACATCCTCATCTACATCATTGATTAAGATGTTGAACAACACAGGGCCAAGAACAAAACTCTGTGGGACACCACTGGCCACCTCCTGCCAAGATGATACAGAGCCATCCACTAACACTCTCTGGGTTTGACCCCTTAGCTAGTTCCTAAACTACCTGACCGTGGACTCTGCCAGCCCACAATCCTCCAGTTTTGTTTTGTTTTTTTTATAAAAGCATCATGGGAGACCATATCAAAGGCCTTTTTAAAATCCAAGTATATGACATGAACTGTGTCTCCCACATCTAAGTAGTTTGTTACTTGATCATAGGAGACGAGGTTGGTCAGACACAATTATTTCCTTCTTGATAAACCACTCATTCTAACTGTGGAAAAGCAAAAGATGCTATCTAAGTATTGCCAAATATTACTCCTCTGGGTCAAAGAGCACTTATTAGATGCTGCAAAAATTTCCCATTTATCTGCACAGGTTTGTTTTCTAGTGGCCCATGCTACAGAATCCTCGTTCGTTGGTCTGTGTTGTATCCTAAACAGGCTCTACTTACATCTCCTCTTATTTATAATATAACAAGTCATTTAAGCTTCTTCAGTGTTCAGGATGGCCTTCACTTTGGTCTTCTCATGATTTGTTACTTAATCTTAGTTTCTCAATCATCTGCTTAGTAAGAAGCCATACTTTGGCTCCAGGCATTCTGACTGAAGGGATATAATTGTTTAAAAAAACCCAAATGAACCTTCTCTCATGGAGTTCAGAAGGGCTTGCCTTCAGATTACTGAATCTTTCTCCAATATTCTGTTCAATCAGAATGCTTCTTTTTATTATAAATTCTTATTTTAAAATAGTATAATGGCATTTGGCCCAGAGAAAAACATTTCTATGTCCTCCTTTCTCCCCTATTCCTTGTGATTTTTGTTCATATTCATAATGAACATAAGTGTAGAATTCTGCTAATTAATTCACAGTTCTTACTTTACTCATTCAGTTCTATGATTACTGTGGCAGGCCAGTAAGGGGCGTTCCTGCTCTGAGCCACCCATGTCATTACGCCTTACCACCTACCAAGCTCTGAGTACCTCCCTGGGGGCACCTCACCTCTGGCCACCCCCCTTCCTGGAGCACACCCACCAGCCTGGGTTATCCCTGCCACCTCCCAGGGGTGCTGTTCTGTATTTGGGCCCTGTGGCCCCTGGGGTACACAGACCTTGTAGACCTTGAGGGTACTTGACCCCCTGCAAGAACTTGAGGTGCTTCCTTTAGCCCAGGGGTTTTCAATGGGGGGTATGCATACCCCTGGGGGTACTTGGGAAGGCCTCAGGGGGTACGTGGCAGCGGGTTCCACTGCCACCATTTCTGATGCCACCATCACACTCACTAATTGGCCACTGGGGGACCTCCTCCCACCCCCTGCTTGTCGACCGGTGGCTCGGGGACTCCTTCCTTCTTGACTGGCTGTTGGGGGGACACTGACCCAATAAGGTTGAAAACTCCTGCTTTAGCCTGAAGCACAAAAAGTAGCCTCCCTTTGTTATCCGAGCCTAGAGAGCTTACAGGCATGCACCGATCCCTCTCCCTGCAAGTTCACCATGCTTGTAATACTGGAGCGCTTCATTGGTTAAAGAGGGTAGGCCTGGGGAAGGGTACATGATAGGGAAGTATCACAGAATAACCTTAGAGCAAACAGTGTCAGTGTGGTAGCTGGTTGATACACTTCTACATTACAGTAAGCTATATATCTAGCTAAGTTTCAAGTAGTTTATTCACTTCAGCATTGAGAGAGAGAGTGCTGCTGATGTTCCAGTTGCTGTCTGACCCTTAACATGGCTGCTCTCCCTCCCCCTGGGCAGTCTTAGGTATATATAGGCCTTTTGACATCACCCCTGAGACCTAATTACAGCCAGGTGTTGTGGGGTGCCAACCAATCAATTTAAAAAGCATCACTGCTCACCTGCGAGAGTGACAGGAGCTTGAGCCCCTGCCCCATGCCATGAGGTCAATGCTAACCCAGTAGAGAGCTAGGTCCACTCCTCTGTCACCTGGCCCAGGTCATGTAGGCAAAACCGGTTGACAGACAGGTGAAAAGACAATGACAAGGAAAAACCTAATAGAAGAGACTGGAATGGCATTCTTCCACACCCTTCCCCCCACTTTAAAAGCCCAGGCACATAGTTTCCCAGAGCTTTGGGCCTGGGTATGCTTTGTCCAGAAGGGTTACCTCTCATACCCAAAACAGAAATCACACAACATATAAGACTGGCTATAACAACAATGCACGCAGAACATTAAGGCACACTGGGGTGTCCCCACACCAGAGCATTTTGGGATAAGGCTGAGACCAATGGACCCATTACCCAGAGTCTTTTCATGATAGAGAATCCACTATGATGTTCTGGCTTCCTCTGATGTGTTTGATGGTGAAGTTCAACTCCTGAAGCTGCCAGGCCCATCACTGAAGCTTGGCGTTGGTGTTCTGCAGTGTTTGCAGCCACTGAAGTGGGGCATGGTATGAGAGGACCACGAACTGCTGTCCCCATAGATAGGGCCTCAGCTTGTTCAGAGCACAGACGATTGCCAAACACTCCTTCTGAGCAGATGACAGGCTCTGCTCCTGGGGAATTAACTTTTGGCTCACGTAAGCCACGGGGTGTCATATTCCTTCATGCTCTTATAGTTTCATAGTTTCTAGGGTTGGAACGGACCTGAGCAGATCATCTAGTCCGACCCACTGCCATGGCAGGAAAGAGCACTGGGGTCAAACGACCCCAGTAAGGTGGTCATCCAACCTCCTCTTAAAAACCCCCAGGGTGGGAGCCTGCACCACCTCACTTGGAAGCTAGTTCCAGAAGTACAGCAGGAGTACAGCTCCCAGTCCCATGTCCAAGGCATCTGTGGCTTTGCAGAAGGGCTTATCATAGTCTGGTACCTTCAGAACTGGCTGTTTGATCAGGGTAGCTTTTAATGTGTTAAATACCTCTTGGCACTCCTGCTTCCAGACCACCAATTCAGAGTTGCCTTTCTTTGTCAGCTCATGCAGGGGAGCTGCCATCGCTCCAAATCCAAGGACAAACCTTCTGTAGTATCCGGCCAGGCTAAGGAAGGCTCTGACCTGCTTCTTAGTTTGTGGGGGTGGCCAGTCTCTAATGGCCTCAATCTTGTCCCACATGGGAGCGATTGTGCCTCCTCCCACATGGTGTCCTAAATGTACCACTTCAGGCAATGCCAACTGGCACTTTGATTTCATTGCTATTCCAGCCTGCTTGATCCTATCTAACATTGTGGTGAGATGAATCAGGTGCAATTCAAAGTCTTGACTGAAGCCAGCGATGTTGATGTAGGCCACTGCAAACTGCTCACATCCATGTAGCAGGTTATTAATCAGTCTCTGAAATGAAGCGGGAGAATTGCACATACCAAAAGGTAAAACAGTAAACTCAAACTAGTCCCAAAGGTGTAGTAAAAGCAGACTTGGCTATGGCGTCTGGATCCCTTGGATAGATCAAGAGTAGAAATGAACTTGGCTCGGCCCAGAGTATCAAGCAAAGTCCATTCTGGGCATGGGGTAAGCACCAGGGTGGTAATAGCGTTCAGCTTCTTGTAGTCCACACAGAACCTGATGGTCCCATCCCGCTTCCGGATGAATACCACACGGCTGGCCCAGGGGCGCGTTGAAAGCTGTATTACCCTCAGTTCTACCATATCAGCAAGCTCATACTTTATCTCTTGCAGCACCTTCCCATTGACTGGGTAGGGCATTGACCAGGTAGGAAGATGGCTGCCCATGTCTATGGTGTGTACCGCCAGGTCTGTTTTACCTGGTTTGTTAGAGAACACCATCTCAAAGTCTTTGAGAGCCAAATGCAGCTTGTCCTTATCCTGGAAGGGCAGACAATCCAGCAGGTAGAGCTTCTTTATTTCAGCCTCTCCATCCCAGTCAGCACACAAGACTGGCTCCTCTGGGTCCTTGGTTGATTCCTCAACTTTGGAAATCCAAAATGCAACATCTCTTCTTTCAAAGTAGGGTTTAAGTATGTTTACATGTACCACCTTAGGCCTTTTGCCTGACCTGCTCATTGCCACCATGTAAGTCACATTATCCAGCCTTTCCTGGATGATATGGAGACCTTGCCAAGCAGCTTGCCTGTCTTTAGTGGTAGGAAAACCATGACCTTATCCCCTGGTTCAAAAGTATGCAAGCTTTCGTACCAGACATTCTGTTCCTTCTGGCCTGGGCTACGGAGTCTCACACCAGCTTCCTCATATCCCTTAGCTTCTGGCAGAAGCCTAGCACATATTCTACCACTGATGTTTTAGAGGAGATTTTCCCTTCCCACTCCTCTCTCACAAGATCGAGAGGACCTCTGACTCGCCTCCTGAACATCAACTCAAATGGCAAGAACCTGGTGGACTCCTGGGGTCTCTCTCAGTAGGCAAAGAGCAGATGCGGCAGTTTCTTATCTCAGTCCATATAAGCTTTCAGAATACCCTTCGAGGTCCCATTGAACCTTTTCTACCAGCCCATTTGTCTGGGGGTGATAGGCTGTGGTCTTGAGGTGTTTAACCCCACAGCACTCCCACAGGCATTTCAGCACGTCAGCCAGGACATTCCTATCCCTTTCGGTCAGGATCTCAGAGGGGAACCCTAGCTGGAAGAAGATCTGTCAGGGTACCCGTGACTACGGGTACCTCTGTGGAGGCCAAGGCAACTGCCTCTCGGTACTGTGCCACAAAATCCATACGGGTCAGGATATGTTTCTTCCCTCTATGAGTCTTATGCCTCAGAGCCCCATAATGTCTACTCCCACACTTTGGAAAGCTTGATCTATGATAGGGAGGGGCTGTAGGGGAGCTTTTCCCTTATCCCCACTTTTGTCTGATCACTGGCACATCTCACAGGATCTGCAATAGTACATCACATTTTGGGCTAGCCTGGGCCAATAAAAGTTTGCTTGCAGAGACTGGGATGGCATTCTTCCACACTTACTACTTCTAATAATGTAAGATGCTTTAGGAAAAGTGACAATGATGTCATCTGGAACTCTGAAGGTCTTCCTGACTCCTTTATAATTTCAGAGCAAGAGTAAGTAAAGTAATCCTCTTATTCAAGGTGCCTGAAGACACACTACAGATAAAGGATAAGTACTTTCATTTACAATTTCCTCTCCTAAATCTCTACTGCCAACTGGAACTCTTCACCCACTTTATCCAGTTGAAATACCTGTTTTTAGCTACATGTTCCAGTAATCTTACACACTTCTACTATCTATTTAAGGGTATGATCCAAGCTGCATTAAAGGGAGTGAAACCTGATTTCAGCAGGAGTTTGATAAACCCTTTAAGGCCGTCTGACTCACAAAAGCTAGCTTTGAAAATTCCCAAATCCAAAATATTCAGGTTCAAGTTCTAAACATATACACAACAGTTTGCTGACACAGTTGAAAAATTACATCTAAATTTTGTCAGTTCAAGTGAAAGAAATCCAGAAATTGTTCTTTTTTCTTCACAAGTGGTACCTAAAAGAATTGGACATTAACAAGAGAGCGACTATTTGTACATATTGAGATTCAATTTATTTTCCTCTTTTGACTGAACACTGTTGTTATAGCAGTCTTTCTTGACTGTACTATGCATTTGCTTTTTTAATCCATTTTATGAATAATTTTCACTCTAGTTCTTTACAGTCCAATATAGAATCCAAACTAATTGCATCCTTTCCTTCATTGTCCTTTGCCACTTGCTTAAATTTTAACATAAACGTAAAAATGTAACAGGACATGAAAAAAAAAATTATTCTCTCTCACTAGTTTTCCATTGATAAAATTCTATTTGGCTTTTGTGGAAAATGGTAAGACTCCTGAACTCTAGCAGTATAAGCAATCATATGCAGGATAAAAATGCATTTACATCTACCCCTCAAGAGTCATGAAACACTATATACCATTGTGCCTTCATTTTGCTCTTCCATAGATATGCCTTTAAAGTATGATCTCATTCTGCTTCATAACCTGCTTGGTTTGGGTTTTTTTAAACCCTTTCAGACCTCTTTTAACATCATCAAGAGGTAAACAATTAAAAAGTAAAACATTTTTACTCTTGGCTTTTGATTTTAAAATCTAGGACTATCAAGTCTGTTTTCCCTCTGTTTGGGGAAGGAAATCTTGCAAGTGCCAGGACTAATATATTACACCCATTCATTTAAAAGGGACAGTGGTGCAGAGTCTTTACTAAACACAGCACTCTGTTGCAGGTACTGTACCTAAGACCTGAACTTCCAGGCTTAAAAGGAGGGAATCTCATGGAAATATGTCTCCCTCCCTCTCCTCAAACGCAAACTTTTACTATTTACTGGTGACCCTGAGGGTAAGTAATATTGTTTGGGGTTTTGCTTCCATAGTGTATATCTAGGATGGACAGATACTTGAAGTGCTCCAAATCTTGCTTGGAGCACTTCAGAATGGCTGTGAAGGTTTGTAGCAGTCACGCTTTCCAGTCAAGGGGCTGGGGAGCAGGAATTCTTGTTTGCCATGAGAGGTTTTTGAGGACAGCTAAGTGCACAGCTCATTGGCTGTCCTTCCTGTTCCTCCCCCTCTTCTTAGCAGGGACTAGGGTGGGTGAGCAGCAGTGCACTGTAGGACACTGGAGGACCAAGCAGCCTCCTAGCACATGCCCCCCCCACCCATCCACTGGAGGGTTCACACTTCAGGAATAAGTAAAAAATGACCTCTTGAGCACTTCAAAGAGCACATCTGTCTACGGCTGCTCTCTCCGGAACCCAACTTGGGACCCCCTCATTTTTTTTCTTCATAGGTATTGATCCGAAATAGTGAAGGCTACGGCTTCCGTGGCGGGAATTTAATCAGCAGTCGTTGGGTGGTCACGGCCTCTCTCTGTGTTGAGACTGGAAGAGCACATCATGTTACTATAGGTGAGCAAGTTCTTATATTGACAAATACTTCACTGCAGATCACATGGGCAATACTTTTATTTCACCCATCCCCTGGCATGGGTGGAGTATTAGCCATATTAACTGATGTAAGAGACTCTTGAGATAGGTTGGATATTCCTGTTCATTTTTCAATCAAAAAATCTCCACCTTCTTGGAGAAAATTATGAAGTGTGACCCTAGTCTGAAAAGTGAGTCTAAAAAGGCATTAGGATGGGTTTATTTTCTTTGTCTCACACTGCTCAATGTATAAACAGAAAGATTTACTTTTTCTTTCCAAGTCCCAGCAGTACAAACTTACTCTGTGATGTGACAAGTAGAGGAGCCTGCTACCAGGAAATGAACAACTTCCATCTTCAGGTTTCTGGCTCATGTTTCTGTAGAGAGCACTGAAAAGGCAAGGCAATATTGAAAGAGAGGGTTACTGCAGCTGACATGCAAGCTGAACCCCAGTTTTGGCTGTTCTTAAGCATTCTTCACTATTGAATCTCAGTCTCTGGTCCTAGTACCCTAGGACGGCTGCATATTTGCCTGTTCCTGATCCCAGTGTAACTGAGATGAGTACACAGGCTTGATGTAGCTGGGTTTTTGATTGGAGCCATATTGGTCTAAGGACATAGGCAGGCAAGGCTCTTAAAGTAGATGTGATATCTTTTATTAGACCAACTGGGTAGCTGGAAAAAAGCCCTAAAGCTTGCCAAGAACTTTTTTCCAACTACTCAGTTGTTAAATAAATGATATCACATCTAATCTAAGAACTTTGCAGGCTTGATGTGAACATTTCACCGGTATAAATGAATGCCTGTCTACATCTTTAGTTGTCGGGTTCTAGAGTTCCTGCTAATAGGGAGGCTGAGGAGGGGAAGAATACATTTTGTAACCTCCTGGGCAACCTCCAGCAACTCGTTCAACTCTGCTTTGGGTGGAGTATTAGCAATAATGTTTGTCATCAACATTGTTCAGTCATCTCAGTTTGTCATCTATATGAGGATAGTACTTCCCTCTTTCATACCATGTTGCAAGGAAACATTTCTTAATGGTAGTATTACAGGTCATGAAAATGAGTATAGCTAGAAGTGCTCTGTATCCCTATGGAAGAGTCATAGAGCGAGTCAACACATACATTTTTGGGGGGGGTCCCCCTCTTGGATTAACGTGTTTAAAGAATTTTAGGACATGGGATAACTGAACATCTGTAAAACTGGAGATGTTCAACCCATAAAAATCTTTCTTTTAATCTAATCTACAGCTACAGGGTTGGGGTTAGGAAGAAAAAAAAGACTTCAACTAAAATTTTAAAAGGCAAGTGGACTTTGCAGAAAACGAGATTCCATCTTTTTGAGAGAAGCAGCAGAACTTTAGTTCTAATTCCGGCCTGGTTTGAACCCAAAGTTAAGCTGCATGAGGTCTTCATAAGCAGTTCCTGACCAATACATAAAATTATTTCGCGAAAGACAATGGGCGCTCTCATACTTAACCCAATCCTTTCCTGTGCATCTTGTCATATGCCCCATTACATGGGAATAGTGGTGTTTAGTTAAGTAAGCACTAGTGAATTAGATTAACTGACATATTTAAGCTCACAGGGCTTGTCTACAGTCATTAATATGTTGTAGTTACTGTGCAGTAGCATCAGCACGTGCCTTTTTAGTAACACTACTGCACGGTAGTATATTAGCATGGCTTGGGTTAACATGCTACTGCGCTGTATTGTTAGGCTACTGCAGTTAGGGTCTTGAGTAGATGTGCCCACAGGCAATTACTTAAATTGCCTTGAGAGGTTAAAGCTTTAATCCTCTGCTTCCTGCTTCTCAAATGAAAACCCTATACAAGCTATTTAAAATTCTCAGACATCTTTGCCTGTCTTCACTGCAGGAGATTTTGACAAACACTGGAGAGAACTGGAAGAACAAAAGATCCAAGTGCAACAGAGTTGGATGCATCCACATTATGATTCGGATAACTACAATAATGACATTTCTTTGCTGTACTTGAGCAGTGACGTTAAGTTTAATAAGTATGCGCTCCCTATTTGCCTTCTCATTCCAAACCTAGGAAACTTGCTGACTACAGAAGGAAATATAGGGATGGTAAGTGGATGGGGTTCCACATATTACAGAGGTTCTCTCACACGGATCCTCATGGAAGTTAGGTTACCTACAGTGAACAAGGGCACTTGTCAACAGTCAACAAGGAAGCTCATTACTGATAACATGTTCTGTGCAGGATATGCTGAGAAAGCCCTCGATGCCTGTAAAGGGGATAGCGGAGGCCCCTTTGCTGCATCTTACCACGATGCTTGGTACCTTTTAGGGGTTGTTAGTTGGGGTGAAGGCTGTGCTGAAGAAGGGAAATATGGTGTATACACTCAGGTATCAAACTACAAGCAATGAATAAAGGATGTTGTTGACAGCGTATCAGATACAGGAAGGTAGATAAATGCACAGTAAAGACAACATTTTTCTTCCCCTTTATAATAGCAGGAACACAACTACTATGGAATGTTTTCAGTCTAATGCAGCAGTCAATGTCCTGCCTTTACTTGTGCATAATTTTGTATCATTGTTTAACAAAATGCACTTATTTGACACCAGTGCAGTGTGGGAGAACCATGACAAATGTCTGGCGACTCCTCTGAATAGCACTTCATGCATTTGAAATGACTTGACCAATTACTGAGCACTGTACAATAACAAGCAATCCAGGATTAAGGGGGAATACCTGTCTAACATGAGAAGCACATCACAAAAGAACTGATCATGTCACCCCTGTGCTCCCATCTAAAATGACATTAGGACACCAACTCACCAGTCCTACACATGCATTATTTTTATAAGCAAGAAACCATTTCCTAGCAGTGCATTATCTTTGGTACAGATACCTCAATGTTTATATACAGTGAGCTACACTGAATACATTTAGGACCCTACCAGTATCTGTTCAGTTTTGCTACCAAATTACCTATTATGACAGCTATACATTACACCATTAAATATGAATGTAAACATTGTTCTGTGCTCTTTGTATCTGGTAATAAAAAATACTGCTGCATTTATTAAGAATCCTATACTGTGAACAACTGCATTGGCTAACTTGGCAAGGGAAGCTGCAGGGATTAGAGAGCTGGGACTTGGGAGCTAAGGGTTTACAGTATCACTTTGCAGAACCCTTGATTCTAACCCCTACTTCACCCAATGGGACTTGAACCAGCATTTCCGCCCAAGTCTTCTGACTACTTTTAACCCCTCTCTTGAAACTGATCCACACTACCTTGCCTTTAACATTCACTGGATAAACAGCACTGAGAAAGTCTCCATCCCATTGTAAGCATCAAGCATGGAATGAGGAGGAAGTGAACAATACCCCCATCTCTCCGCTGACCAGAGTCAGATTCAAGAGAGCCTGAGCAATGCGCACCCAATGGCCTGATGCAGACTTGAACCTTCTCTGGGTGATGGGAGTCTGGAACCTAGATCTGCTTCCTAAGCATGGGCTAAAAAGGTGGAAGGCTCCTTCCTCCAGCCTCTAACACTCACTAGTCATGTTTTTTCTGCAAGTAAAATGTCAGGACTTGCCCAGGCTGAGGCATGTACTTGAGCAATCCTAATGTGTGGCATGACTCCCTGGCCAGAATGCAGCTTAATTTCACACGCTGAGAGGCAGGTGCAGGTTTCTGCTCACACACAAACATCAGTTTGTGATGACCCAAAAGCTGCAGTTCCCTGGCTGGGATATGCTATTTAGGTACATAAAGGAAGAGACAATTTAGTCCTTTTTGCTTTACTTTTAGAATAAAGAGATAAATTAATTCAGCCTTTACTACCTTAGTTTGAACTCTTTGTACAAAATAAAAAGGACCATATACACCACCAGGAGCTAAGAGAGAACAGTTTATCATTGCTCCTAGTGCCTCCACCATGATCTGAGGAAAATCAAAGCTTTTCTTTTTTTTGTGCATTTAAGCAAATCTCCCAACTCCTGCAGCTAGCACCCACTGGCTAACATAGGAGAAACCAGCTGTGCCATATGACCAGTCTCCATGAATAGTACCTTCCTGTTTACTTTCACCCTAGAAATAAAATAAAGTAGTCACTAGTCCTTTTAATCTAAAGGCATCTTATTCTAATTACTTTGCAGACAACTCATTTGGTTACCGTCTGCATCAAATCTTAACATGCAGGCTTGATGACCATTAGAGCCAAATTATAACTTAGAGATTTTTTTCTTTTTGGCCAATAATGGTATCAAAAGATGGGTTTGAAAAAAAAATGTCCACTGTTCACACAGTTTAAAAAAAAGAGCACTTTTTATTCTGGAAATTTCTATACCATACATCATTTATTTTGCTGTCACAGTATTTGAAAACCAGCAATTCAGACATGAAATATTGATGAACATAATTGGAAAAAATACCAGTACTAAGCAACAACCTTCAAACAACCTAAAACTAGGAGGAGAGATAACATGGTGGGAACCTAGCCTCTAGCCAGCCAGCCCCCTGGTGAGAGGCTGACTTCCTGTGCTTTGTTAAAAAAAAGAAAAGTTAAGATCATTTCACATATCCTCCCAAAGCGCACAATACCAAAAGGATGGGTGGAACAACACGCATTCATCTAGACTAGATACTGGAAAGAACTACATCTTCCCTCTTTAAAAATTAATGTTCCCACTATATATTAAAGAGTCACACTGCTGTATTCTCTCAGCTGCAACTGATAAAAAGGAGTTTCTAGTTAAATATTTGCAACAGGAGAAAAGGAGAGGGAGGAAGCTGTAATTGCAGAACTCCTCCAAACAAGTTAAATTGTGGGAACACACTTCAACTTAACTGTTAAGGTCTCAATTTAAAAAAAATGTAGAAGACCAAATTAATAGAAATCTTCCCCACCCCCACTTCATCCTTGACCAAAGCATTTAAATCATTCCCTCAGAACAGTGACAATGCAATCAAATGCATATTCTCTTTGCTTTTCATTATGGGAAAGTCTATCACCAGGTACAGCAGGTTATACTAGTCTTTGAAAAGTGATAGTTTATCACGATATAGTTGCATGAAATAGCAGCACACTGGGCTCAATGACCCAGGAGTTATCTTCCAGTTCTATGCTCCAAAACACAACATCCAATGAATTAAAAACCCTATGCCCTGCTGTCTACAGTTCCAGACTGCTTTCCAGCATAAAACAGATAGGCTAAACGTACTGCCAAAAGTATATGCAACAGGAGAAAAAAAATCTCCCGAGAAACTGGAAAAAAATAATAAGGGTGAAGGAAGAAGATGAGGAGGACAGACGGCCTCAACTCAGATACATGTGGGACCAAATTCCATACTCACATATCTTGATGTAAAACTCCTTCTGAATCCAGGGAGTTGTGTCTATCACCATACAGCCAATTTAATATCTGCAAAGGCTCTTCATGCAATTCTTAATTTAAAAAAAACAAATCAACTAACAGCACAGGAAGAGTGTACTTGGACAGACATTGCACCGTACCAGAATGCCAGCAATGAAGAGTCCATAAGGTAAGTTCAAATGCAAGGCTGGAGCTCAAAGCTCAGGATTTTGATTTCATCTGTTTTGCTGTCAGCTTCTGGAGTTCTTCTACAGCAGAAGCAACAGGTGCTAAGTGCTTCGACAACACAGAAGGCAAGAATCTTACACTATAAAGTAGTATAAAATGTTATACGCTCCATCTAGAAATTGCTATTTCTCACTGAACTCCAAGCCTCCTGCCATTAAAAAGAGGAGAATAATTGTATTTCTCTTGTCCAGTTTTACAGACAATTAAGAATAGTTTCAGAGGTAGAGATACAGAATTCCACCCTGAAGTCTTTTTTGCAGCAATCAGGGACAAAGAACAAGTAGCAGCACGATCATCTAAAGGATCAACAGATCACTTAAATTATTCAGCAAACTAATTTCAGTCTCTTTAGGCAATCTTGATAACCTAAAAGATTCACAGTCCTGGCTTAGTTTCTCTTCCTTGAAAATTAAATTTGCAGGGGAAGGAGAGAGGATTTTTTTCGCTGATATCACAATTCAAAGCACTGTCCTCCAACTGCAGCTAGTTGCTTCTCCAAATCATTCACCTTTGAAAATTTTGCCTTGATCTTTTACCAAGGACAGCCAGTGATTCTCAAATTCTTAGGTAGATCAAACTTTTGAGTTTGTATGAAGCACCTGGTATTTTTAGAGATATTCATGTAGATCTTATCTTCTTGAACTCTGCACCAGGTGTTGAAAAACTGAATCCTTACAGCAGAAGAGGGCCAACATTTAAGGCGATTTGATCTCAAATCTGAGATCTTAAGTTGTCCAAAGGCAGAATAATAAGTCATAAAAATAAAAATGAAGGCACCAAAATAAAGGGAAAATGGAAGAGCTACATGGTAGGAACAGAATTCACACATACTGGCATTTCACCCACAATGCAAACCTCTTCCTGTTCTTTAGGTATCTCCAGTCTTTTCCTTGATACACACATTATTTTGGACCAAACAACAGACAGCCCCCCAAAAAATGGAAGGATATTTTATTGTCTAAAGTGTGTAGCAGTACAACAAGTATTTGATCTGTACAAAGGACACAATAGAGCAACTTTAAATACAGTCAGGAGGAAGAAGTCCCAGAATTTACAAGCCTCAGACAATGTTTTATAATACCAGAAAGCTGAACCAACAATTTAAAGATACACTAAAAACCAAAAAACTTGTTAAAAAATGTAAAGGTCTCCAAAGAGTCTATGGGTGCATGTCTTACAGCAGAGATCACGGGGCATTCTGTGAAGGGTCACAATGGCATCTTATTGCCCTCAATGCTGATTTTCACTGCATGAGCTGATCTGCTTTTTTTCCTGATATCTGTGAATTTCCGCATCTGTTTGTCCAGTCGACTCACTCCTTTCTTAGAGGTTCCCTGGAACTTAAAAAAAATAAAACCTATTAAAAACAAATGTAGAAGTCCCAGAGGCTTCATAAAATGTAAGGCATGCATGGTTAAATCTTCCAGCACCTGCTGCACTGCAACACGGGATCTGATGAAGTCCCAGAAATATTTCAACAGAGCTTGGGGACTGGGAACGAGGACAAGGACAGCAGTATCCCACAAGTATATGCACTGCACATACAAAGACATCCACGCACACACAAAAAAACAAAAACATCACACACTAAAAGCTTTCATATTAAGGAAACAAAAGTAACCAATCACCATCCACATGCCAGCCAAACAAACTATTTAGAACAGTTCTTACAATGTTTATTAAACATAGTCTTGTACCAGAAGTACATTTTCATGTACTTCACAGACTACGTTTCCTGGTGGGGAGCGATGTGTCGACGTTCCCATTCTAATATCCCATTCTGTGTAATGTTAGCTGGGCTGAAGTACCAATCCAACTTGGCAACTAAGTGTAGTAAATAGTAAATTAGTTGCCAAGTTGGATTGGTACTTCTCCAACAGGAAATTATTGGGAAGTGGGGTGAAAAGCAGAAGTGCCAAAGAAATCTAGCCATACAAAGTACTGCAAAAACTACTGCATTTCATTCCCTGTATTTTGACTAACTGCAGCTGGAAGATGAGGATGAAGCAGCAGTTGAGTTGTTTTGCACAGACACTGTAAAGATTCTGTAATGAAACAGGACAAAAACAGACAAGACCCTTTAAATCAGTAGACAATACTTCCTAGAAATGATAAGTTTTCATATATTCTCCACAAAGCCTACAGAAATAATGTGCAATGGACACTTAACCTTTTACTTGTAGGAAAGCAAAGAGGTTCAGGACACTATACTCCATATTTTATAGACATGTTGTAAGAGGCTCAGCTTTTACTTTCTGAAATGCTTATTGTACACTCCAAATGCCACTCAGTTCCATCAAGCTAGGCTCATTTGCAGAGAAATCACTCTCAATACCTGGATGAATAGTGATTTTATCCATAATAAAGGAAACTGACCAACCAGAATTTTCATGCTTTAAAAGCATTTATAGAATAAACTTAAGTATGAATCCGAAATGTGTTAAAGATAATCCTGTACTTACTTGTACTATCTTCTCTAGTTATCAATCTGTGCCATTCCTGCTCACAAACTGAAATGCAGACTAGGAGTTGTCAAAACAATTCTCAGACTTTAAAATTTACTGATCAGTCTCTCTCCATCCCAGGTTCACAGCAAAAGACTCTTCTTTACTCACTCCCCAGTGGACTCTTTCCTCCACCTGCTACCAGCCCCTCCCTAAGGCCTTCCATCACAAAATGACTTCCTTGGCTAACAAGAAGTGAACAGTCTCTTATTTTAGATCTTGTTCATACTACTAACACCTCAGCTACAAACTATGGAATAACAAAGTACAAAATTGAAGTTTAAGAATGCTGCTTCTGTCATTTGTTAGATAAGTACCAAGTTTTAGATTAAAAAGCAGGCTCTAATCAAATGGGAATACATTTTAGAATGCTGCATCTGCTCATCTCTCCAACTACTTAGAGTCTTAAAAACAAAGGTATATTTGGGTGTAGCTGTTTTTTAAACAGCACCTGCCAGCAGTATATATGGAGGCTGTAGTGGCAGGGACCATGGCAGAAATTATGTGCTACATCAGATTATATCCTGCATCAAGTTACCCAGCAGGTCACAGTATAGACATTAAGGATTAAGAGGACAGCTTTTCAGCATGTATCCCCCTACTCATACATGTTTTTTTTCCACTGAATGTGCAAACTGCCAACAGCTGAAGCACATGCACTGGTCACACCTCCCTTGAGGGATACCTCTCAAACTTGGGGAAGGCAGAGTGTGTCATGGCTACAGGGGCATCCTGTTGCCTTCAATGCTGAACTTGATGGCTCGATGCACTTTGCTGAGTCGTTTCTGTTCAGCAAACCGTCTCTTGTGCTTTTCCAAACGACTAATACCTCTCTTAATAGTCCCGGGCTAGAAACAATATCTCAATTAATGAAAGGAAGGAAAAACAACAGTAGAAACAGTACAATTTAATGATCACTTAATTCCACTTTCATTTAATTTTTCCATATGAAGATTCTGACATCTCCAAATTAAATTGGTACAAGGCAGATGGATGAGCCAAGATGAAATGCATGGGGCTAATTTATTTGTACAATATTCAGTCTTACCAAGTAACTGAATCCCTCCAGTTTTGGGAAACCTAACAGGAAAAACATAATACTAAACAGACATGGATGCACTTGTCTGACTGCAGACAGACTCCAAGATGGTCTACACTAACTGCTTTGCAGTCATATCCTTAAGCCATGATAACCAACAGTCGATTCTTCCTAGTTATACGTCTCCATTCCCTGGTACCTGAATGAAACAACTATGGGATGGGGTTTACAAAGCCCACTTGCAAGAAGGCCATAGTCCCTCAGGCTACAAGAGGTATAATGCAATGAAATGGTGCACGGCAAAAGCAACACATCAGTGATGAAAAGACAAACTAATTCCCCAGGCTTATCCCATAGATTAGATATATGGTCAGCTTATGAAACTAACTTCTTCCCTTTACTACATTGCTTACCCTGGAAGATTCCATTTCCACATTCCACTTTGGTCTGACCACATAGTCTTTGTTTGAGGGCATTGGAACCCTTGCACGAGCGCAAAATCCTGGATCGCCAGGTCTAAGAGCCCTGCAAAAAACAAGGCGGTATGTTGTTAAAGAAGTCACTCATACAGACCAGAACACAATTAATACAGTTCTTTAAATACTTCTATTTTCATTTGCCTTTGAAAAACACAAAGCACTACCACTTCAATCATTCATATTTCCTTTAAAAAAAATCCAAGTGTTGTAGACAGCCTACAGAGACAGCCTGGATATCATCACTAGAATACTACCAGAAAAGAAATAAGGACTTACTTTTCTTCTCCTGTTAACACTTTCTCCAGATCTCTTCGAGGAGTCTGACCACCAGAGCTGCACAGAAAAAGGACAATGTTATAGTTATGACTGCCAGTCTTGATGAAAAAAATCAGTCATCGCAAAAGCCAATTTCCAACCTATCCAGAACATTTGATGCATGTTCATCAGGTACCTAAAGGGTAAAAGTGTTTATAACCAACCAAATTAAAATAAAAGATCCCTGACCAAATACAAGGGTCTGCAAAAGTAAAACCAATAATCCTTAGCAAATGAAGCCCTTAAATAAAGTTAGCAATTTAAATACAGACAAAGAACAGTCAGGTACATAAAGATCAATACCACGAGCCTGAAAGAACAAAGATCAGGGGCTTCTGATCCCAACTGCTAGGTAATGAAAATGCAAGAAGCAATTGCACATGTTCCAAGTGCCAAAGTTGTGAAGAGTGATTATTTACCATTAACAAATCCTTGACTTACACCCTTTGATCTACTGGCAATCGGTCCACCTCACGTGGAATGCAGCTGTAACCATCTCCCATTGTTGTGACAAGGAAATGAGCGGTAACATTTGGTTGTTGTTGAACTTGAGTTACTTTTTAAAAACAATTTAGTAGTATACTACTGTGGTTAACTTTGGTGTGAAATTGGCAAGAATAATCCTGGTGAAGTCTGCCTAAGAAAAGGTTCTGGATAGATTAGAAGTAATGGTAAATTCTGATGAATATTATACATCCAACTTCACACTTAAAGAGCAGGCATCGGTCCTCAAATGTAGAAAAGAAAAACTCTACGAGAAGGACAAGACAGCAACCAACAAAGGTGAGAGGAGACAGACTAACTAGAAAGCCCTCCAGTTTCCTTTAATGTTTCATTAGCAGTGAAGATGAACTGCCATATTTATGTATTCTCATCAAAGGATTCTCAGATTTGAAATATTTTCTTTGTTCTCAATGACTTCAGACTCTTACCTGCTCAATCGCCTTCGCTGGGGCATCTGTTCCAAATCTCTCTGCTCCCTCTCCTCTCTAGTCATCCCTTTGTAGTTTGAAGTAAGGCCAAAGATAGGTCGAGACCATTCATCTGAAGGATTTCAACACAAGGGACATGTCTCTAGCCAAGCATATTTTACCTACAGGAAACTTCAGTGGCTCTAACTACAACTTTTAGCAACACAACTCGTGTGTTATCCCTGAACTGACAGGTGAACTCACATTATTGTGACTTTTAGGGTCTTTCACACTGTAGCACAAGATTTCTAAAAACAAACCTAACACTATAAGGCAAGTTCCTCCCTTCCAAGATGCCCCTCTCACTAACACCTATTTCCAGAAGGTGCTTTAATTTGCTTAGCCATCGTTTTAGAAAGCTGCTCATCTATAAAACCTGGAAGGAAACAGTGTGGTTTCAGAGGCACAAAGAAATATATACAAGTATGGTGGTCCAACAGGGATTTGTAAACCACTGTCATTCAGTTTTTATAAGAATGAAAGATAACAGGGAAAACCTGCAAGAGGACCTAAATAAAACAATGCCTGTCTGCACTTGTATATTTAAAAGTTAATTTGAAACAGATGCCCAGATATTATACTTGCATCAGAGGTTCAATTTGCTTTACAAACAGCGAGAAATCAATGTGTCAGAAGAGAGGCCAATGCAGAGGTTAGTTGATAAAATGAGATACACCAGCCAGCAAAATACAAAATGGGCAAGACAAGGCAAAGATTACATACTTATTAGCTTTCCTGCCATGTCTTTGTTGGGTCTTGATTCCTTCGGATGTTTGTAGAGGTACATCACAGCTCGCCCAATCCCACTATGCTTCAGAGTCTCTTGGCTCACACTGGGCAGCTGGAAAACAGAACCAATTTCATTAATGGTGCCAGATGTCAACAAAAATCCAAAACAACAGGTAACTTTAACAAAATAAGTATTATTGTCAAGTTTTGTAACAACTTGCTATTTTCATAAGAGCATAATAAACAACCACCTATTTCCAGAAAATTATTTCAGAAAACATTTTTATAACACAAATACAGAAAATGCAGGATTTCTCAAAGCAACTGATGGCTGTTGTCCATTATCTAGAACAGGGGTGGGCAAAATGCAGCCCGCCAGGCCATTCTATCCGGCCCGTGACACCCCTAAATATTAATTTCCTAAATTTTTTATCTGCCCCGGCTGCCTGTTATGCGGCCCTTGAAGGCTTGCCAAAACTCAGTAAGCAGCCCTCCACCCGAAATAATTGCCTGCCCTGATCTAGACACCTGGCCTGTTAACCCTTAAAATTAATTTTGTTTGTTAAATATGAAGTGGATTGAAGGTCCCGAAAGGTGCAGTCCAAATGCTCCTCTCCTCTCTTATTAGGCACCTCTCTTATGCAGAGAAATTTGCATTAATCTGCCTTTTAAGTAATAATTTAATAGCAACAAAATTACCTCTTGACAAACAAGAAGTCAGAAACCAAACAATCAAATACTAACTTTGCTACAGATTATCAATCTGTTTTAGATCTGTAGTCTGCCACACTTGCAAAATACATGCCTTGGTATTTCAGCACTGGGGCAGAAGAGAAGAGGAAACTTTTGTCATTATGGAGGTAGCCAACAAAACAAACTGGCCCTAAAAATTTTAAAAAAATACTTCAGAAAGGGAGAAGATGGGAGCAAAGAGTATTGATAACTCCTGTGGCATTATGGGAAACAACTACTGAAAAAATGCAGAAACAGAAGACCAAATCAGGCATTCCACAGACAACAGAAGGCAAGTCTAGTGTCTAAGTTCTTTAACTGTGGTCAAAAGTGAACATTATACCTGTGGCTGGAATTTAAGCAAATTTATACACAGTCACTGTAGTTAACCAATAATGGGTTTGTAAGAGAAGGTTCACTTCTTCATTACTAGTGAAAGTCTCTCTCTACTATTTTCATTTTGTGGTCACACCAAACAAGAAATAAGATGGATCTATTACAACATAATAGCTGGTGAGTCGTTCAGTGAGAGACAGAGAAGATGGTTGACAGAACATCCTCTTTTCAGTGGGAACACTCAGATAGGGACCGCAGCACTTAAGAGTGTGAGGGAGGTTGAGAAGCTTGCAAATGCAAATTACAAACATTCTTATTTTCCTTTCAGTCATTTACAATGTCTCTTAAGCCACATAGTACATCCTTTAATAACAAGAGTGATCCAAACAGTGACAGTGGTTAAACACCCGTTTCTAACCTCTTGTAGAATCTTTAAGAGTTCCTCTCGTATCTTTAGTGCTGGTAGACTCCGATCTGGCAAAGGGGAAAGCCATTCTTTGATAGCGGACATCACACCACTATCTATGAAAGTTTCCTTAAGGTCCTGCCTGGAAGTTTTAGAATAAAAAGGAGGTCAGTTTCAGGAGCAGCAATGTTCCCACTTCAGCAAACTGGGAATGCAAATAATGAAAACACATCAATACCCCTGCAGTACCAATATGCCCACTTACAGAACTTGGGCTTTACTTTTGATTTCTATCTTAGTGGAAGCAATCCCTCCAATACCCTTTTACCCCTAAATCTAGGTGCTTTGGCATAAGCTACAGAAATAAAGACAGTGCTCGCTCCAAAGTGCAACCGGGCTTTAACATAAACATGAGAACTGCTGAAAGATGATCAAAGTCTCCCAGTTCAGACTTGAAAGGGTAGAGCAAGAAAGTCATTAAAACGTGGAAATGCCATGCTGTGAAGTGCTTTTCAGCCTGTTATATATATTAATGCCTTTCAAGATAAATAGTGATTAAAATGTGGATAAACTCTTAACATTTTAATTGCCATTTATCTGTAGCACTTCATGCAGAATGGGAAAAATAAAGTGTTTTAAGACGCATGCACACCACCACTGGAGTGTAACTATAACTAGTTTTCTAACCCCAATACTCTCTAGAAAAAAATAAATAAATTTGGGGAGAATCAGGCACTTACTTTTTAAGATGCATAACTACAGTTGGTAGCAAAGTTAGCTTCTTTAGTGCTGGTTTCTTCTGAGTATTCAGCTGTCTATCCTCCTGTAGAGTTCATAAACAAAAAAAATTACTGATAACACGCAATCTAGAGAAAGGAAAAGCAGTAAATCTTAACTCTTAAGATGCATGCAACATGCATGATTAGCAGTCTAATTGTGTAGGAGCTGCCTTCTCATGGTCCCAAAACCCATTTAAAAAAAAGATTTTCTGAGGGATTCTTAAAATTTTTATTGTCTTTAAGATGGCTAGATGAAATAGATTTATATTAAAATGAAATCTACTTTTGTACTTCAGTTCTACTGTAACCCCCAAAACAGATATGAAAAGCTTCTATAAATTATTGTACGCAGCCAATTTATAAAATGTTTCCATTAAAAAGCATAATAGAAGAACATGCATATGAATAAAGAACCTAAATATCAAGATAATGGGAAATGAGACAATACATACTTTCTTATGGGAAATGCATACAAAGAATTAATTTAACTTAAAAGTTTAGGGAGACACATGGCATGTCATTACTGTATTTACCTGAATCCAAGATGACCCTGAATTTAAGACTACCTCCCAATAATTAAATTCTATAACAAATATATAAATTTTCTGTGTGTAGAATCCAATTAATGGAGGGTCCTCTTAGATTCATGCCCTCCACCCTACAACTGCAGTAGAGAAAGAGGCCATCGGGGGAAGGGGAAGGGGTAGGAGAGACACAGGTGACACAATACTTTGCCCCCTGCTGCCTCTATCCCCTCTTACTCTATCCCTTCTTCCTCCCCCCTCTAGTGCCTACTACCTTTTGAGGTGCCTAGCCACATAGCACCTGCCCCCTCAGGCATCTGCCCATCCCCAGTGTCCCCCTCCACTAGCTCCACCACAGCTCTGGTTCTACTGCAGCAGCAGTTGCAACGATGACAGCTATAGCCATGCCCTGGAACTGGAAACCAGAGGTTGGCCCAGTGAATGGCCCAGGCTGGAGCTCTGCCATTCACTTTGTCACAACCAGGCTGGGCTGGGGCAACCATGTGCTCTGTGCCCCAGGCTGGAGCAGGTCCAGCATCCTGCCAGAGCATAAGCAACAGGGCAGCAGAGAGGGAGTGGGAACTTGAAGCTGGAGCAGCTACTTGACCCTCTGCTGTCTTGTACTCAAATCCAAGACAAGGCGTTTTTCTCCCCTTGTTAAACGAGAAGGGGTGGGGTGGGGGGAGGGAAACCCTAGCTTGGATTCAAGAACAAGATATCATTCTCTCCCATGACTCCTTTTGATTAACACTAATGTCTACTTTGTCAGTACCTAATTCCACTACAGTACGACATTAAAGAGATAGTCAAAAATGAAAAGGGCAGCAGAGGAAATTTTACATATATAACAGGCTTTTCGTGATAAACAATGCTGTATAATTTGTTCTTTCCTATAATTATGTGGACCTGCCACCATCTATGAGGGTGTCATTAGTTATGCCATCTGCAATCTAGAAACTTTTCCTTTAGTCTAGAACATTACACACGCAGAAAATCATAATAAAATAAAATGGACTGTGAGTATCCCAAGGGCTGATGCTACTGACAGGAATTAAGGTTTCCGTAAAAATAAATGACTTCATACTCAATTTCATGTATGTTAAAAATTCAGTTGTTCCACAAGAGGAACTTTTGAATTTGGGTACATGAAAGAATGCTCTGATGCAGTACTACAGTAGTTTTGGATATTAGAAACTTTCAGTTGTTTACAACTCATATTCAGAACGTACAAGACTGATTTCTATTCTATGCTGAATACAAGATTAATTTGTCAGAGAGCAGAAGTGGATTTTGACAGATCTCTCTGCAACGTAAAAAAAATCTTACCTCTGCAGCTTCATTCATTTTAACAATCATGGCACTGACTACATCATCAGCATCACTAATAAATGTCCCGCCATCACGATTTCGTCTGCGCTTGCCACTCAGGTTTTTCTTCCGTTGTAGCATCATGTCAAAGTCTGACATGAAGTCCATACTGAAATGGAAGGAAAGAGTTTGCTGAAAGACATCTTAGAATACCCCACCTTTTTCACCAGGTTTTTGCACTTTAATAGTACAATCCCACCCAGGATCACCAAGTGTTCTATACACATTAAGCCTCTAAACATCCCTCTAAGGTAGGTACAGATCCCCAAGTTACAGATTGGGAAACTAGGGAAAGGGATTCAAGGACTTTCTGAAATCACTTACTTGGCATCACAGAAGTCTGCCAAATCTGTACTAGGATTAAGGTCTCCTGACTGCCAAGACTGTCTTTGTTTTTCACTCAGCTTATGCATATTCTTCTCAAAAACCCTGAACTGTTTGCAAAAGGAGGCATTACAGAGATCTGTTCTATGTTCTAGCGCTCAGTGTACCTGGTGATTGGTTACATGTAAATACTCTCAGACTACTCCAAGAGGGGATTCTTATATAGGCTGCTTACAGACATGGCGGGGGGGGGCGCTTTAATTTTGGTTCTGTGCACCCCCACACTGAGCACAAGGCATGCCCAGAAGAGGCATCGCATCATATCAGTTTGACCTAATAGCTTATTCAATTAGCTATTAGAAAAAAGCGCCAAATAGCTCCACTGCAGTGCACAATCTATAAAAATGTTGGGCGAGCCAGGTCAAACTGATGCATTTCCTCTTCCGGGGAAGCACTGTTTTGGTTTTGTGGTTTTTTGTTGTTGTTGTTAGGGTTTTTTTGTTTGTTTTTTTTTTTTGGGGGGGG